TAGGTGATACATCGCATTTGTAATTTAATTTTAAAAAATTTTTAAAATATTATATAAGATTCACGTGATTGAGTGATTCTGACCATTGAGAAGTGAGAACTGATGCATGCATTGACCACGTGTTCTGTCTTTTGACCAAATCCAAACCTGCTCTCTCTTTCAACACAATACATATTGGAGACACAACACAATACATATTGGAGACAAAATGTAAATGTCTCTAAATAAAAAAATATTAAAAACATACTCTCTTTTTCTTTTATTCAATTTTATACATTTTTTCATCTTTTTACTCAACTTTTATTATTTTTATATTTAAACACACTCCAACTTTCATCCATTCTCTCTCCAACTTTGTCTTCCCCGAGACATCCTCTCTCCAATAATACCCACTATCTCATATGTTTACTCAAATTTTATTAATTTTATATTTCAATATACCCTATTATTTCAACCAAAAACATTCTCTTTCTTCCTTTTACTCAACTTTTAATAATTTTATATTTAAAGACACATGTAAAAATCTCTAATGCAGATGGTCTAAGAGTTTTAAAAAATCTAACAGAACCGAGATCAACGGCTCAGATCTTCTGACAATACAAAAATATTAAAATCCAGATTTGTAACTGCGTCCCACTTTCACGGTTTCACCAATTAAGCGATGAATGCGGGATTTTTTTTTATCTAAAGAAACTAGATAATTAAAGTTTTTTCTTTTCTTTTTTGATAAAACTAGATAATTAAAGTTTAAAGTGAGTTTTACATCAAAGTAAAAAAAAAAACAAAAATTAATTACTTTCTAAACAAATTGATCCATAACAATCATCTCTATTCTCTTCTAGAAAACATCGTTGCTATAATATGCACTAAGCATCGACGATATCATGTCTTTCCATTTAAATAAGTCTCCAACCTTCTGACCTTCATTATATTTCACATGACACTTTCAAAGTTTTCAGACGTATTTTAAAAGATGTTTTTTCCCCTCTAATAAATCCTTCCACCGTTACTAAAAGCACTATAGAAATATTGACAAGAATTTAATGCTACAGAACAACGGTTACGATATATTATTTAATGAATTGTAAACTAAAAACTGACGGTGAAGATTTATGAATATGTTGTTGTGTATATATCTTATTTTAAAATAAAACAAATCACTACAAAAAATCATGCTTGTTGCATCATATAAATAGTATCACAAAATAAAATGACATTGATTTGAATTACTTATTAATAAATAATACAAAAATATATTATTTAACATCAATTATTATATTGATGTTGTTATTGACTTGTTTTACATCGGTTAAATAAAAATGATACAAATTTCTATTAATTTACATCACTTTAAAATATTTGATACAAAAATATTCATTTACATCAATTATTTAACTAATGTACTTATTAATATCATTTAAAAATGATATAAAATTTATATCAATAAAAAACGATGTTAATTATTTTTAATTATAAAAAAAGTCATGTAATGATGAGATAAATTGTATTTTTCGTTGAATGAAAGTTTCTAATATTTTCCTTGCTCCAATAAATAATTTTAGTACTAGTATGTATATAAGATTACTGTAATTTGTATTCATAATTTAAATAATAATAATAATAATAATTGTATTCATAAATAATCGTAAATAAATTATAAGTTGGCTGTAAAAAAAATTATACTTGAATAAATAAATTGGACTTTTTTATAATATTCAATTTTTATTATAAGTATCACTTGACCATTATTATTACTGTATATATAATATATATACATGCAATTCCCTTAATTAATTAACAAGAACTTTTGTTTTTGTTTGTCGACAATAAACAAGGACTTTTATCTACAAAAACAAAACTAACAAGGAAATGCATATTAGAAAGATATTTTTTCCAATAGTTTTTGAAAATAGAATAAATTCAACCACAAATATATATAAATCTCTAAAATTTAGTCCTCATGAATTGTAAATAAAAGTATGTTTCTTTTCGAAAAAGGGTATGTTTCCTATTATATATTAATTACCTATATCTTTGGATTAAATTAGATTATAAAAAAAAATCTTTGGACTAAATCAACAGAAGATCCCCAGATATAGCTGTCATTAGTTTAAATTATTGATATATGATTAAAATAGGTAACTATAAAATATCTCTTTCGTAATTAAATGGAAATCTTTTGTGCCATTTTTTTTTAAATGTAATTTTCGAAAAATGTAAATCAATCATGGGTAAGGTTGTTTTTAAAGCAGTTATATCACTAAATCTTATAAAGATCTACACACGATTTTCTTCAATATATATGAAAACCGTTTCTATTTTTTCTAAGAAAAAAAATTATGTAGTTTCTCTCATTCTCTCTTGCTTGCTGTTTAGTTAGATCTCTTGCTTAAAATTACTTTTTGGTGTGTAGCAACATCTACCAAACCTTGGATCGTTGGTCACAGCATCTATTTGTGTGAAGCTATCACTTCCTATGTTAACAATAAGAAGTAATAGGTAAGTCAATGCAAATCCAAAAATGATTTTTATATTGGAAAAAAAAATAGTTTTGATTACTCAATGCAAATAAATTTCAATTTGTACAGAAAAATCAGTTTTGGAACGGAGAAAATAAGACTAACGAAAAAGATTAGGGAAGGAATAAGATGAATGAAAGAAGCTATTTGCAAATTCCATCTCAACACTTTAATAAGAGGAGAAGATCCATTTTTTAAATATAATTTCTTTCAAATCAATCATTGTATACAATTTTTTTTATTATTAAAT